TTTAAAAAAAAAAAAAAAAAGGCCTTTTGTAGTTGGCTCATACCTATAATGTCTTAATCTCATAAGAATGAATTTAATTTTTAATTATTATCTAATAAGTAATAGAGATGAAAGGGACAGAAAGTTATGACACATAATCAGAAAAACTAAAAATATAGCAATCCAGATTATTTCATATTTATTTAGAGTTTAAAAACAAAGCAAGGTCAAATTAATGTGATGAGTTTTTTCTTTAAATCTCATAAAGATATTTTCACCAAATTTAGGAAACTTACCCTTTTGAATAGGATGAAAAACACACTTGGTTATCTGGAAATTCACTTGCATGGAAGACTTCATGCTATGACTACCATATAAAGAAGGCCTTACTACATTAAAATTAGAGATCATCATTAAGGAAGCTACATTTCAACCCCAGGCTTTAAGTTACTTATTAAACAATTATAAATAAGTAAATAATGCCAATATGCTTTGCTGTGTATAAAACTCTGCCTTCTACATGCTCTTATTTAATGCTGACGACAGTACACAAGGGGTCCGCCTTGGAAACTGTCTCTGTCACTTTCCATCACTGGTCTGAATGAACCAGGTTGCCATCACAGTCTTAGCCGCTTTATACAACGGTGGGTTCAGCACAAAGCTTCTTCCTACTCTGCTTCTTTCTTCTCTGTTCTGTTTCTTCCTTACCCTATAATTTATATCTTATTCTCTTCTCCTCCTGACTTACTTTCCACCTCTCTTCTCAACCATTCATTTAAATGAGCCTTTATTAAAGACCTTCCCTGTCTCATTCTGCTGAACACCAGGGCTATAACAATAAACAAGTTTGCCTTCAGGAAACTCACATTCTACTAAAAGATTACAAAGAAGAAAGGGTAAATAATTGAGAAGAGTAAAATTTTGTGGGGAAAAGTATTTTTCCTTTCTTACAATTATCCTCCTTTAAAAAAAAACTGGAGTGTGTGGATTAAGTGAAGAGAAAAACATTCTAGTAAATTCAGTTTATCTATAGGTGACATATTCATTGTAATAATTGTTTGCAATTTTCAAACTACAATTCCCATCACACTGTTACTACACGTTTTCTGTGCAACTGTAACAATTAACTGTTCAATGGCTCATTCTTCACATTTTTAAATTAAATATCTTGGGGCCAGGGACTTAGCCCAATTGTTCCACTGCCTGCCTGGCAAGCGCAAGTTCCCAAGTTAGATCCCTGGTACCAAAAAAAAAAATTAGTATCTTGGTAGTTTAATGCAAACCAGTTAAATATTATAAAATAACTGCAAGAAAATAATCTAAGTGACATAACTGCCACTTATAGAGTGCCAAATACAGTTTTAAAGCACTTTATGAATAAGCACTTAAATGTAATTCTTGTGATAAACTATTATTATCTCCATTTATATAAGAGTAACTGAGGCACAGAGAATATAAAGATTTTAGGCAAGGTCGCAGAGCTAGTCAAATGAAAGGCCTGCTAATAGAGCCCAAGCAGCTTAAAATCTGAATCCATTTTAACTAATATTCTGTTTTAAATCATTCTTTCCAAAAGGAAGCATCTTCTATACATGCTTCAACAAATGCATAAAGATGTAAATATAAAGGTATATACCGAGGCACTGCTTAGAATCATAATTTTTAGTTATGCCTTTCCCCATCAATTTTATGTATTTATTTATTTTATTTATTTATTTTTCTGGTACTGGTGATTGAACTCAGGACCTTGCGCTTGGGAGGCAGGCGCAGTGTCACTGAGTTAAATCCCCAGCCCCTGCCCCTCAATTTTATAAGACTTCGACCCCATAAAACTTGGATCTACACTTGGCAACAGGAAAAAACTGGAAATTTCCATCAATTAATAGCCTAAATTAAGTAAATTACATTACATGCAAGCAGTAAAACACTGTACAACATTAAGAAGTTATCATACATGTTAAGAGAACAGGGTGATCAAAAAAGTATGTGAAACATCCTAGTAGGCTTGAGTTCACCTGAGTCCAAGAAAGGACCACTCAAGTAAAGACCCCCAAATTCCCTGGATGCTGCCATATTTGCATGGAGGAGATAGAGCCTCACATGGTACCCTAACAGAAATGTAGTCCAAAGCTAGAAAAGTGGTGCTGCTGGTAATAAAGGGTAAGCATGTCCTGCCCTAAGCTTGGCTGGTCAAGGTAAATGAGCTGAGCCACAACACAGACTTCTGGGAGTGCTCATGTGCCCTTAGG